TCGACTGACAGCAGCTTTCTGCTCAGAGTGTGTCATTCTAGGGCAAACCTTCTTCTAGGAGTCCGACTGGAGATGTAAAGGCAATACAAAGCTTTAAAGATAAAGCCTCCAGTATCTTTTTAAAGGTTCTGAAATTGTTCAGATGAGTTCAAAATCAAGGGTGAGCTGTGGGGGTTCAGGAGGGTTGGCAGGAACGGGGTGTTCTGTGTAGGGCAGTTAGAGCTTCACTGGTGGGACTCACTGGCTGCTGTTTGCTGTCTCAGGGTTGGATGGTCTCACCTTGACGCAGCACGGGAGCTGGGGCAGGAAACACTGCCCCACTCGTGTCACTGCACTGGGGGTCCCAGGAAAAGGAACAACGCCTCAACTGAGCCCTGCACTGAATCCCGAGGCGGCACCTTTAGGTGCCACCCTAAGAACAGGGGAAATGTTAACAGCTCACACTGAATTCTGTTCCCCTGGGTGCCACAGAGGGTGAGAAGGCTGTTGTTATGTGCCTTTTCTCCATCTTAATTACTGTTTGAAAAGCAAAGCATCAATTGCTCTCTTTCAGTTCATCAATTTTTTTCTTCTGGGAGGCTGAGGTCAAGGCTTCTGAAGTGACACATTCCAATGCTGTGCTTCTGTGAGTTTAAACTCAAGGTAAAAGACATTTTTAAATTATTTGTACGAGTCTCCTTAATTCGTAGACATGGTAGACAAGGAGCTGAAGTCACTTCTGAGAATATTTTCCAAAATCACATACCTGAAAATCTGCATTAAAATAAAAACAAATGTTATAAATGTACGTGGACCTTGTCAATATTTTAAGAGCAAGGTTTTCATCTCAGGATGTGCTGTCTGTTGTCATTAAGCTGCAGCTCCCACTGCTGAGAGGCAGAGCATTACATTACAAGAGATACAAAGCTCTCCCTCCGGAAGGTGGCTGGGGAATATGTGGAATATTTTATTGTGATGTGGCTGGGATCTCCCAGGGCAGCCTTACGGGGAGCACAACGGTTGTACAAACCCCGGCTGAGCTCGCTGCTTTGCTGGCAATCCTGGCCCGTGTCTGACTGTGAGACATTGGTTTAGCTGGAATTCATTACAAGGGAGAATGAAGGGAGATTTTTGTGAAGGGAAACTATATTTTGGCAATAAAGTGTGACTGAGTGTGAGCTCAGGAGTGCTGGGAAGGGGAAAGCTGAGTGAGGGAGATGTTTGTGAACTGCATCTGCACAGCAAATTGTATGCATCAAAAATGGAATTTCACAATTTCAGCTCATTTTTCAGCAGTTCAGTTCCTAACGTACCTTTCTGTGGAATAACCTGGCTTTGTCTGAGCCAGGAGGGAAGGCAGAGCTGCTCCACAGCTCATCTGTGTGGTTTGTGTGCTCCTGGGGCACAGGCAGGTACAGAGGGCAGGTACAGTGGGCAAGTCAATAGAAATTCTATTAAGGAGGTAGCTTTGGAGAACACCACTCTGGTGTGTTTCATGCATCAGTGTCGGCAAACGGGTTTTTTATGCAATTCTAATCTTAATTAGGTGCCTGAATTATGTACCTGGGTTTTGTTTGATGATGTTTGGTTTTACATTGGTTGCTCCATTGCAGGCATGGGCTGGTCCCTCCCCATGCCCCTGTTCCCCTGTGATGCTGTCCCTGCTGTTTCCCAGGCCAGCTCTGCAGGTGCCTCTGTTCCTGCATTCCCACTCCGCCTCCGTTTGTCCCTCCTCGTGCTCTCTCTTCTCTCCACATCGTGCCAATTCTCCTCAAAGGCCCTGTGCAAAGTGTTTTCATGCTGTTCTTCTCCTTCACAGCTTCTTGCTGGCCCAGCTCTCCCAATGCCTGGTGGGTGGCTGGATCCTTGGAAAGGAGGACAGGACCCTCCGAGCGCCGTGCTGGGGATTTTCACAATAACACACCTGGGTACAGCTCTCCTGGGGCTCAGGCCGCAGCCAGACATTCCAGCTCCTCTGTAATGAGCTGGACGGGCTCCCAGCAAAGCAGCCAGTGGCTCTGGAGGGTCAGTGCTTGGAGCTGCTGGTGCTTTGTGCTAGCAAAGGGACAGTGGTGCTGTCTGTGTGGGCAGGGGGTGCTGAGCTCAGGGCACCAGTGCTGCCCTCCAGGAAGCCAAGCAACCCTCAGAGGAGTGCAGGCTGTAAAGGGGCCATGGCTGCCTTCCTGTGCCTCCTGTGCCCAGCAGATTCCTCCTGTCCCCCCTGCGCTCCAGATTCCTTCTGTCCCCCCTGTGCTCCAGGTTCCTTCTGTCCCCCTGTACCCCAGGTTCCTCCTGTCAGCAGACTTCTCCTGTCCCCCCTGCACTCCAGGTGCCTCCTGTCCCCTCTGTGCTCCCGATTCCTTCGGTCCTCCTGTGCTCCAGGTTCCTTCTGTCCCTTCTGTGCTCCAGGTTCCTTCTGTCCCCTCTGTGCTCCCAATTCCTTCTGTCCCCTCTGTGCTCCAGGTTCCTTCTGTCCTCCTGTGCTCCAGGTTCCTCCTGCCCCCCCTGTACCCCAGACCCCTCCTTTCCCCCCGTGCTCCCTCAGCCCCCAGGCTGGAGACAATCCCTCCTCTTTGGGAGGGATGGGCTGTCCTTGATGTCCACACCGGGTGTGAGGGCCAGGGACCCCCGTGCTGCTGCTTTTGAAGCCCCTGCAGCAGGGATGACGTGGGGCTGGGTGAATGACCCACGGGTGGGCAGCCGCAGCAGCTCCTCTGGCTGCCTCACCCCGCACGGCCAGCACCTGTTGAGTGGAGAAGGGTTTGCATTTTCTGTCTGGGATGCTGTGACCCCTCTCTGTTTCCTGGGCAGTGCTGGAGGTGGGTTAGACAGACAGCAGGGAGGGCTGTCTGTCCCTGCAGTCAGAGGAAA